CAGATGGGTGACCAGGCCCATAGATGGAGCCGTGAGTAGCCATCACCTCAGTACCGCCGCCATTCAACATGCTCACTCCGTTACGATCGGTAAATGGGCCCGTCACGCTGGTAGACCGGCCGACCATGGTGCGGTAGGTGCTCGAGGCGCCCTTGCAGCAGAAGTCGAACGACACCCACAGGTAGTAGTAACTCCCGCGGCGAGTGATAAAGGGCGCCTCGATGGCGCCGTCGTTGACGGTGCGGCGGGCAAGAGAGACGAGGTTGGTACCGGAGCGCTTGCCGGTGCTGGGGTTGATGGAGATCATCTTGATGCCCGTCCAGAAGGAGCCAAACGATAGCCACCAGTTGCCGCTGGCGTCGACGATGAGGTTGGGGTCGATGGCGTTGTAGTCGACGGAGCTTGAAGATTCAATGACGAGACCCTGGTTCGTCCACGAGCCGGAGGCGCCGGTGGAGCTCGTGGCGAGGAAGATGGCGGACTTTTGGGAGCCGAAAGTGGACGCCGAGTAGTACATGTAGTACTGCCCGTTGCGGTAGGAGATGTCTGGGGCCCAGAGGTTGGTGTCTCCGCCCGTGTAAGCGGTTGTCCATGAGGCTCCGTTGGGGAAGGCAGCGCCGGCATCACGCCATACGGTGCGGTCGGTGGACGTCTTGAGAGCGATGTTAGTTCCCGTGTGGGCCATGAGGTATGTGCCACTTGACGTCTTAAGGACGGACGGGTCGTGGACATTGATGCTGCCGGAGACGGGACCTGGATTCGGGTACGCTGCGGAGACGCTCGGAACGGCTGATAGGACAGTGAGCAGGCCACCGAGAAGACCCTTCCATGTTGGCGCCATTGTGAATTGTAAAGCTCTTGTCAATTCTCTTAGCTGGTACAAGTTGCTTGAGAGGTGGAACACCGGTTGCCAAGACAAATCTCAAAGGTAATAGACGCCGACGCCGCAGGTTGACAATTTCAATAGAGACGAGTTACAGTCGCAGCTGCGCCCTATTTATTCTTCAATTCGAAGAGCGCGAACGAGGTCATCTTGGCTACCTGGGCTGTCTCTCCGCCCTACCTAGGCATGTTACATCGAATCCCGGGTCCGGCAGACGGAGTTTTGATAGGTGCAAACTACTTGGAAAATTTCCCATTGGTCCTGTTATAGACTCGAGCATGGGTGTCTGCCGGTAGTTGGTCAGATACGTGGATTTAGTCAACTTCTTATTTTCCGTGTGTTCTCACGTTGCCAAGGAGCCCCATCCTTTGGACTCCAAGCGCACCACGGATTAATCTCCAACCCCCGCGGAGAGTTTGGTCCCGTGATTGTTCTTGGTGTATTTAGGGGTCTTACCCCAAGAAGAAGAAAACCAACGCGTGGGGCGGTGGCTGATGTACTAAACAAACAGTATTAATGACACAAATGTTCGTGAAAAGACGTGATGTAATTACGATTGTCTGCCGCTCCTACGCGCTTGTATACTCGAAACCCTCCCTGCATAACTTGTCATTTGAAGGCCTGATGCAGGTCTGTATATTGCAGCTCATATCTGAGAAGGCCAGATCTGTTCGCGTGCAAAGGGAGTCGAAGATATCACGGTATCGTGCAGGAGGATGTGCTGGTACCACAGCAATGCTCGCTGCTCTTGCATGCAATTGAGAAAGACAACACACGCTCGAATAACATAGCCTTGAGCAAGTTGATGGCTCAAAAAACATGTCTGGTCTTTTCAAAGCACCAGCTATTGACCAATAGCGGCGAGAACGATCCGGAACTAAACCATGCCCTTTCCGCAGCAAGCATCTCCCTCACCTAGTCGCGAATATGTCCAAATTCTGAATCGAACTCATGTAATCAAGCATTTTGATCCATGCCGTATAAGTCGGAATGGAGGTGCCATGCGAATCAGCAAGAAGCAGGGGTGCAAGCAATGCATGGTTGAGTCACACAGAGAAAATGGTGTCACGATGAACAACGAACAACATCATGACAGGCACGCATCTTGAGATTGATCACCACAGTTCGTAAGGATGGAGCGTAATTATCTCAGACATGAACATTCTCAATATGACGACGCTGTCACGTTACCACAATTGATCAAAGGTTTCCCTCATTTCAGACGCACATATCATTGCTTCAACTATTCAGAAGCGTGATCAAAACCTTAATGTAGCCATTTGCGTAATAGCAGCACGGAGGGTAAGTTCATCGCCATTTGACGCAGGATCACGAATGATCGAATCACCCCATGACAACACTATTGAATTCATGTCCGCATCACTTCACAGCATCGCTTCACATAGAAGCCGTAGCAGTGTAACAACACCTGTTTTCAGTTTTCACGCACTTCCCTTCTGTTCAAACTTCAACGGTTCCCGGATTGTTCAAGAACCTGCATGGCGTCCATATATTCCTGCCAAAGGCTCTAGCTCTAACTGACACGTACCCTGGTCATCTTAAGAAGATCATGTTTGGTGACGATGTCACGATACTGTCTCTGCCATTGCCAACTCGATCATCTTTCGAAGTATTCGAATCTCGAAACATAGAAATGAAGGGAGTGGGGCAGCGATGACTTCTACTGGCCCTTGAAATGTGATGCGCACTCCCGCGTCAACATAGTTGTCGAAGATAGAAGCTAAGTGTCTTAACGCGCATTATATATACTTATTCATTTCTTGAAAAAAGTAAACGTTATTCAACCCAAGCAGTCTTGTGACTTGCAAGATGACTCGTACGATCTAGCCGATGGGCGCAACCTCTAAACTTCTCTGTCGTCTTCCACGGATCTTGGTGCATTTACTCATCGACGCCGATAAGGGCAGCACTATTGCCGGTAACACTTTATCCAAAGTCTCCATCGAACATGGTTCCAAAAAAGAGTTTTTACAACAGAAAGCGCAAGAAGGGAGATTTCGCATGATATGTCCCCCCGATGCTGACGATCGAAAATTTGAGACTTATTACTCAGGCAGAACCTCTCTTGCCTTGTGGTTGCTTTTGGCTCGCCATTTGGAAGCCGTCGCCTGGCAATATTGTGAGAATTCATCGGGTTCGAGGAGATTTAGCACTTTGAAGTTTGATCAGTTGAGAGACCCATTGACATGTCTAACGGCACGCAGATCGGTTACAACGATATCTCCGGAGCCGGGCACCGGAGGGCCGTGCCAATGATTCTGGCAGACAGACCCACATCGCCGGATGGCCGGGCCCTCAGTCGGGCATCACTGGACGTAGAAGTTGATCACGCGAGCTTCATACCTAGTTGGGAAGCTGAACGAAATGGTAGTCTTATGTCATGCATACTGAGGCTGTGAAGGTCATAGTGCAGCAGGTCTCCAAAATCCAAGCAAGGTCGGATGGAGAGAGTATTGTTTGGGTCGCCAAGTCGGAATGACTCGGACTCATCTGCTGATGGAGGATACCCGAGGCGATCTGTCTGTGAAACTTTTGGGGTTGGCTTGAAGTAATCTTGGCCGTCTCCGACGTTACGATAAGGGCCATTTGGTATTGTCTCGGGTGTGCCGTAATGTTGGTTTTTAAATTGCCTGTACGCAGTACCTGATACTGTACCTAAGGCAGGTAAGGCAGGTAAGGTACCTGTCAAAGGCGTGCGACGGGGAAGAAGATGGCTGGGAGCACTGACAAAGTGAACTTGGCTGGCGGCAACGTCCACTTAGAATGGGTGGCTGGCGCACATGTTCAGTAGCCAAGGCTTCCAAGAGCCCTAGACTGTGGAATTGTGGAGGAATTCTGGGTATGCTGTTGAACGTTGATAGTGAGTGCCCTTGTGAGATGTCCGCCGCGGACATGACCTCGGTGGTACACCGGGGAGAAGGCGTTTTGAGTTGTGATTCCAAAGCGAACCACTTACTTGGAATGGAAGGCTTCCAGAACCGTGAGTATCCGAACCTAGTAGTCTGAGATCCGTACTCTACTAATAGACCGATGCTGCCCAGGCCCGTGGGAGGGTTTCCCAAGATGCGCCACCGGCGCCATCGGCGTCATCGCCGACTGCGCCTCAACCACGACGGGGGAAAGTAGGGAAAGGACCCCGCAGTCGTTGCTTTCCGTGCCTTCCCCCGGGTCGCAAATGCTCTTCCCCACGCCCGCCCGCCTCCGCTCCTTCCCGGCGTATATGTCAACCTTCTTGCCTTTGCACCGTCACCAGCTTCTGCCCATTTGATACCCCGCACATGTTCAATGCTTCAAGTTTCCGCCGTGCTTTCCATACAAATTCGAGCGGACTTGGCATCTGACGTAATCGTTCCATCGTGTACTTTCCCATGTCTGAATGCGTGCGACTTTCCCTACCAGGAGAAAGAAAAAATAACTGAACACGAATATCCGGTATATCCCCAGATAATGCTGCACACAGCACGAGGGCCCGCCTCCGCCAAGGTCAGCCAAGATGGCCAAGCGTGTTCTAATGCTTGATGGATGGATACACTGGCCAACTTCTGCACCAGTAAGAAAATCTACGCAGAGACAATTCCTGTTACCGTCACCATCTGTGCCTTCCAGTATGGAGTACTTGCCTTACATCCATGTTCTGTCCGCGTACCTTAGGTACTCTGGCCCCCTCCAGGGTAGTCATTCCCCGTTGTTCCTCAACTGCCACGATACCGGTACCGTTCTTGCCGTTGCCGCAGTCAATGGATTCCAATTGTTCTTGGCGAAGCTGCCTTTCGCCTTCCCTCCTGGCCCTCAAAAGACAGACTGATGTCGCACCTTCTCGCCTCTCCCTCTTGATGTCTCTTTCCCACCATCCACAAACGTTGCAAGCCATCCAATGACACCTCAATTGACAACCTGCCTCTGTGTTGCCACCTTGACCAGTCCTTGCTGAGTTCGCTCATTTTGTCCAACTCAACCCGTTTCAGGAATCTTCATTAACCTCCTCGTCTTTCTGTCGCTATCATTTCCAAGAGTTCAACTCTCTCTGACATCAACTCCAACCCCCCACCCACGTCACCTATTTTGAGCTCTCACACTCTGTTCCCCTTTGCCTGGCATGGGGAACCAAAAGGCCGCAAAGCCCGCTGAGAATCACGTCTCGGGCCAATCCAACAAACCGCTCTCTCACCCAGCCCATGCCTTGTCATACCAACAGCTGGCTGAGGAGCTCCGCGCCAACGCCCTCAATGGTCTCTCTTCTCAAGACGCAAATTCCCGTCTCGAAGAGTTCGGCCATAATGACCTTGGCGAAGCCGAGGGCGTTCAGCCCATCAAGATCATCATCGCCCAGATTGCCAATGCCATGACCATGGTGAGTTGCTTTCCCACCTTTACTCCAGATTCGCCCTTTGCTAACCCGTGCCTAGGTCCTGATTCTTGCCATGGCCGTTAGTTTCGGCATTGGCTCATACATCGAGGGCGGTGTCATTACTTTTGTCATCTTGCTCAACGTCATCGTTGGTTTTTTCCAGGAGTACTCCGCTGAGAAGACAATGGATTCCCTCCGTTCCCTCAGCTCCCCCACCGCCAACATCGTTCGTGACGGTGAATCCATGGTTGTGCCCTCCGGCGAAATCGTCCCTGGTGACCTCGTTGAGATCAAGACGGGTGACACGATCCCCGCAGATGTCAGGTATCCTATGCCATCAACAACAACTTCAAGACCAAGCAGAGCAACTGATGATGCTACAGGCTGATCGAGGCGGTCAACTTCGAGACCGACGAGGCTCTGTTGACCGGCGAATCCCTCCCCGTGCGAAAGAACGAAGACGCAACTTTCCCCGATAACACCGGCCCCGGAGACCGTCTCAACGTCGCATACAGTTCGTCCAATGTCACCAAGGGTCGCGCCAAGGGCATTGTCTTCGCAACAGGCGTTTACACCGAGATTGGAGCTATTGCGTCTGCCCTTCGCAAGAAGGATTCCAAGGTCCGCGAGGTCAAACGCAAGCCCAATGGCAAGGCAAAGCCTCATCGGTACCTCGAGGCTTATACCTTGACTTTGACCGATGCCATTGGACGTTTTCTTGGTGTCAACGTTGGCACCCCTTTGCAACAGAAACTCTCCAAGCTCGCCATGCTCTTGTTCGGCATCGCCATCGTCTGTGCCATTATTGTGCTTGGCGCCAACAAGTTCGAGGCCAGTCAGGAAGTTATCATCTACGCAGTTGCGACCGGTCTGTCCATGATCCCGGCAAGTCTCGTGGTCGTACTCACCATCACTATGGCGGCCGGAACCAAGCGCATGGTGAAGCGCAATGTTATTGTGCGCAATCTCAAGTCGCTCGAGGCTCTTGGTGCAGTTACGGATATTTGCTCCGACAAGACCGGCACTCTGACGCAGGGCAAAATGCTTGCCCGTGGTGCTTGGTTGCCTGCTATGGGAACGTTCACCGTTGAAAACACATCGTCACCAATGGACCCCACCACTGGTGATGTTCGCTACGACGAGCGGTCTCCTAGACACCTCAACTTTAAAAAGGGAGGTGACGCTTGTGGCACCATCATGAAGACCGACCAGTTGTTGCAAAACAGCAAGTCGGCCCTATCCGCGTTCCTCTACGTGGCGTCCCTGGCCAATCTCGCCACCATCAACAAGAAAGATGATCAATGGCTTGCCCGCGGCGATCCCACTGAAATCGCCATCCAGGTCTTTGCTTCCCGGTTCGACATGAATCGCCTCAAGTTTGTCAGTGGCAGTGACAGCCCCGAGTGGAGCGAGATTGCCGAGCTTCCATTCGATTCAGATGTCAAGCGCATGTCCGTCATCATGAAGAACAACGCCACGAGCGAGTATTTCGCCTACACCAAGGGTGCTGTTGAGAGAGTGATTCAGATCTGCACAAAGTACGCTCCCAGAGATGATGGCGTACTGATAGACATCACGCCTGAGTTCCGTGAGGAGATCCTTCGCAACATGGAGGCTTTGGCGGGACTCGGGTTGCGCGTTCTCGCACTTGCGAGCAAGCCTTATGAGGGCACACCCAGCAAGGGCGATGAGGCTGAGCGTGCTTCGGTCGAATGTGACCTCGTATTCCGCGGTCTCGTGGGACTATATGATCCCCCGCGTCCCGAATCCGCCCCTGCTGTTCGACAGTGCCACGAGGCCGGCATTTCGGTCCACATGCTCACCGGTGACCACCCTGAGACCGCAAAGGCCATTGCCATTGAGGTTGGCATCTTGCCCACTCGCATGGAGCGCGTCGCAAGGAACGTTTCAGATGCCATGGTCATGACGGCTTCGTCGTTCGATGCATTGAGTGACGACGAGGTTGACAAGCTTCCTGTCCTGCCGCTCGTCATTGCGAGATGCGCCCCAAGCACCAAAGTCCGAATGATTGAGGCTCTTCACCGCCGCAAGAAGTTCTGTGCCATGGTAAGTGGATATTGCTTCGCCCCATTTGTGTAATGGTCTTCTAATTTGGATAGACCGGTGACGGCGTCAACGACTCCCCTTCCCTCCGCCGTGCCGATGTTGGCATTGCTATGGGTCAGTCAGGTTCAGACGTGGCCAAGGATGCATCCGATATCGTCCTGACTGACGACAACTTTGCCTCCATTGTTGCCGCTATCGAAGAGGGTCGTCGTATCTTTGACAATATTCAAAAGTTCGTGTTGCACGTCCTTGCTGAAAACATTGCCCAAGCTGGAACATTGCTGGTCGGTCTCACTTTCAAGGACGCACGCGGGCTGTCGGTCTTCCCGCTTGCTCCTGTTGAAATTGTCTGGATTATCATGGCCACATCTGGTATGCCCGACATGGGACTTGGCTTTGAGCGTGCTGTCCCAGACATCATGCGTCGCCCACCTCAGTCTCTCAAGACGGGCATTTTCACCATGGAATTCCTCGTCGACATGGTCTTCTACGGCCTCTGGATCACCGCTCTCTGCCTTTCAAGCTTCTCGCTGGTTGTCTACGGTTTCGGGGCTGGTGATCTTGGAGAGAGTTGCAACGAAAGATACAATGACTCTTGCGACACAGTCTTCCGCGCCCGTGCTACAACTTTTGCCTGCCTCACATGGTTTGCCTTGTTCTTGGCCTGGGAGATGGTTGATATGCGTCGGTCATTCTTCCGCATGCAACCAGGATCCAAGAAATATTTCACTCAGTGGATGATTGACGTTTGGCGAAACAGGTTCCTCTTCTGGGCCATCATTATCGGCTTCGTTACCCTGTTTCCCCTGCTGTATATCCCCGTCATCAATACTGTTGTGTTCAAGCACAAGGGCATCTCCTGGGAATGGGGCATTGTGTTCATTGCTGCAGGACTTTTCTTCGCTGGTGTCGAATCCTGGAAATGGGGCAAACGCGTCTTCTTCAGGATCCGCAACAGCAAGGAGCTTGGCGTCGCGTGGAAAGACATGGACATTGAACAGAGAGTATTCGGGGAGTACCTCGGCTCCAGCGATGATGATCACCACACCGAAATTGGCGACGATGACATTGACCTGGAGAAGGAGAGGGCGGCCTTGGAGAAGAAGTAAGCGAGACATAATTACCAGATTGTTAGCTTATGGAGAGAAGTGAGTGCGTGCTTTGGAACGGGTGAGCGAGACTAGTGCGCATGCTGTAGATGATGATGCTATGGACATCTATGATAGTAACGAATCAAAATTATTTACAAAAAGGTCGCCGAGTCCATCTCGGAAGTGTGTCTCAGTCTGCTGCTGCAAGTCACCAGGCACCCATTTAAGCCCCTGTTACCATTACCAAACGCGAGCCTACCCGGGCGAGACTATGCCCATTCCTTACGCAGATCAGCCCTGTATGTGACCACAGTACCATGCCAAGGATACTGGACTTACGAGGGTTGAGATCCTTCAGTGTGCAAACGAACACAACGAAGTAGCTACTTCTCGTGGTGCAGTGCCACCAAAGGATTGGTCGCCCCGCCGAAGCTGACAACTTTTGCATCACTGGCTTGAAGGATTGACTTTGAGGTATTGTTAAGACATTACTGTATAGAAGTGATGAATTCCCCTGGATTCCCACGTTGACATACAACAATGAAATTGTTTTTCGGACCATCCATCTAGAAATCTGCCAAGATGCGTTTCACGGCACTGGTCTCACATATCCTCTCCGCGCTCCTCGTAGTGCAATCCCCAACACCAGCTCTCGCCATCCCGACAACCCGCCAATCCGGAAGCCTAGCCTTCCTACCTGACAACCCTCTCTTCACATTTTCCTATTCCACGCCAAACGCCGACGCAAAGAACTGGATCGGCATCTACCGCGCCTCCGGCGGCGGACCCGAGAACCAAACATTCGTGGAACCGTCGCTGGTCTGGGGGTATGCGCCCCAGTCAAATGGGACGCTCAAGATTGACAATGGGGGGTTGGTTCCTGGCGAGTACCGTGCCTACTTCCTCGCCAAAGACGGGTATGCGTGGCTTGCGCCGCCGGTGGACGTGAGGGTGCCGTACGCTTCCGGGCCGGTTAAGTTCCTCGTTGACGAAGTTACGCTGAGGAACGCGCGTGTCGGAGACGGGTACGAGGCGCGGGTTGATGGGTTGAGGAGCGGTGGCGGGAGTGCGCCCGTGAGCTTTCGTAAAGTCGAGGGGAGCGAATGGGTCAAGGTCTCGGAGGCGGGCGTCGTATCTGGCACGCCTGACGTCGCGGGGCCCTCTCACGTCACGATCGAGGTAGCCGTCTCAGCAGCAGCGGCGGCAGCAGCGGATGGATCGTCTGCGCGGTTGGACGTCACCATCCCCGTCCGCCCCATCGGCGCACCGCTCGTGGACGAGGTATCCGTCATGTCTTTCAATTTGTGGCACGGCGGAACGCAGGTATCCGATTACCACGCCAAACAAGTGCGGTTCCTGGCCTCGAGCGACGTAGATGTCGTCGGCGTACAGGAGAGCACGGGAGGCCATGCTACGCGGCTGGGGGATGCGTTGGGGTGGTATTCGTGGCAGGGCGGCGACGTTGGGTTCGTGAGCAAGTATCCGCTCAAGGACGCCGCTGCGCACGAGGGCGGGACGTATGCTGCGTCCGTAAGGGTTGTGCTCGATGGTGAAGGGGAGGAGGTTGTGTTGTGGAATGTGCACTTGGGGTACGACCCGTACGGACCCTACGACTTCTGCTTCGACAACATGACGGTGGAGGAGGTGCTGGCACGGGAGACGGAGTCCAAAAGGACGCCGCAGATCGAGTCTGTCGTCCGGGCCATGGCGGGGCAGTTAGCGGAGGCGGAGGCGGTGCCTGTGATGTTGGTGGGTGATTTCAACGCGCCGTCGCATCTGGATTGGATTGATGCCACAGGCGGGGTGCACTGCGGACAAGGGGACATGCCGTGGCCTACGTCAGTTGCGCCGACAGAGGCCGGGTTGGTTGATTCCTATCGGGTTGTGTGGCCAGACCCCGGGGCAAGGCCGGGGGTTACGTGGTCACCTATCTTCTTGGAGAATGAGGGAAGGCCGGAGCCGATGGATAGGATTGATTTTGTGTATTTCCGGGGCGGGAAGTTGGAGGTTCTCGGGTCGAAGGAGGTTGTGGTGGGGGAGCCGGCGCCGGAGCCGGGGCACGGGGCAAATGAGTGGACTTCGGATCATGCTGCTGTTGTGACGAGGTTTAAGATGAAGAGTTAGTTGCATCTATGAAAATGCATCGTATTGAATACTATCTCTAGAGGTCAAGTCTGCATGAGTGGACATGATGTATATACTGTAAGGCAAATGATGAAATCTGTGGCAGTCTGTTGGCCTTCGTGTCAAAGTCTTGGTCACTTGCTTAGAGCCCCGTCTTCTCCTCAGATCGCGATGTGCCCTCTACTACTGTTGATAAAAACAACATCCTGTGGCCTGTGAAACATCATAGGTGCGAACAGATAGAAATGGCCCAACAATTGCTATGGATTCTGTGCACTCGCTCCTTCGTCAATCAATGGAGAGTTTGCTGTGATATTGAGATATGCAATGCTTAAGTAAGGCACATTGGATTAGTTCATTAGTTGAATTGTACAATAATCATGCATAAAAAGCACTGACTAAGCACAGTGGGATGCATTGCGATGACGTCGGTGTGGTTTGTGCGGAGCCATGATGTAAGTGCCCAGTGAGGTGGAAGGAGGACCGAAGAAGGAAGGAGGCGCTGTGCAATGTGGTCGACATCAGGCCACTCACCACACACTCACGGCAGGCACTTTGACGTTTGAACTTGTTTTCAGATTTTGGTATCAGGAAGGTGCACCTGCTGGTAAGGCCATGTACACAGTACTTACATAACCGCCTCCTCTCGAACCTGGATACCCGGAACGTCCTTTCATCCCCATCCACCACAAGTCAGTTCTGAAAAGAAGAAAGAAAATCACAGCCAGACACCCAGTACTCGAACCGAATCGAGTTCCAGAAACCGAGTATCAAAAACCAAAGACGAGCAAAGATGCCCTTCTCTTTCACATCCTCCATTTCCTTCTCCTCCTCAATCAGCCACAACGGCAAGACGGAGGAGAGGCGCTGGGCCCGCAAGACGGAGCGGAGTCCCTCGGGCACCACCATCCGGACAGCTTCCTACAAGACAGGCGAGCCCGTCTACCTCGAGCGCCGCGAGTACGATTCCGCGGGACGCGCTCTACCAGAGGGACGCGCTGTCAAGAGCGATGGGACGGAAAAGATTGATCGTCGCATCGAGGACGTTTCTGAGCGGGAATGAGGGTGCGGGCTCCGGAATGGGATCATCAATATAATGGGCATGGAGTTTCAGGGTTTTTTTTTGGGAGGTTATCAGTCAATGAGCGATCATTTTTACTCTTATATGAAGAAGTGTCCTACAAATGCACTTGGTCTCGTGATAGCAGGTGTAGCATGTTGTCTTGAAAATCATCAACCACTTTGGTTAACCGTCGTACTACATAGCAACGACAGGGAGTTTTCACCATTTGATTTCACAAGCATCAAATATACGTGACGGTCATAACTGCATTACACTACGCTCTCTTGCGCATTCTACTGCGCGGCAACCTCAAATCTTGATGACAACCTTGCCAAAGTGCTTCTGGTCCCACTGGTACTGGTACGCCTCCTTGACCTCCTCGAAGCCGAAAATCTTCTGATCGACAACAGGCTTGATCTTGTTGGCGTCAATCGCCTGGTTCATCTCCTCAAACTGCTGCTTCGAGCCCACAAACAACCCGCGGATCGTGCAAATGTTGGCTAGCGCGTCCAGCAGTGTCGGCTGCTCCCCCTCGGGCTTGTCCCCGTGCGACAAGAACCCAATAATGGAAATCACGCCCTCCAGCTTGACCGCCTTGAGCGACTGCGCAACCGTACCAGGACCGCCGACCTCGATAATGTGGTCGACGCCCACGCTCTCCGGCGTCAGCGACTTGGCCACCTCGCCCCAGTTGGGCGTCTCCTTGTAATTGATGACATGGTGCGCTCCCAACTTCTTGAGCTGCTCGCCCTTGGCCGCCGACGACGTCGTCGCGATGACCGTCGCACCCGCTGCGACGGCGAACTGGATCGCCGACAGGCTCACGCCGCCGGTGCCCTGCGTCAGTACGTAGTCGCCCGGCTTAAGGGCCTTGGACTGCAGACCGTACAACGCGTTCCACGCCGTCAGCGGCGCGCACGGGAGCGTGGCGGCCTCGACGGACGAGAGCGTCTTGGGTGACTTCACGACGCCGTGCTCAGGGAACACGGCGTATTGGCGGAGCGTGCCGTCGAGGGCACCGCCGAGGCCGGATTTGACGGCGAGAGGGGTGATGGGGTTGGATTGGTGGTGCTGGTTGAAGAGGGTCGCAATGTTGTCGCCCTCCTTGACCTGCGTGACCTTGGGGCCAACGGAGACGACGCGGCCGGCGCCGTCAGAGGCCGGGACGCGGGGGAAGCTGACGGGGAATGGGTAGAGGCCCTAGGTGCAAAGGAGCGGCGTTAGCGGGGGTAATTCGGGCACCGGGCACAAGGGTTACAAGCCAACTTACCTTTGGGATAGCCAGATCGCGGAAGTTTAGGGAGACGGCCTCGATCTGCACGAGGACGTCGTAGTCGCCCAGCTGTGGCAGAGGCACATCCTTCTTGAGCTCGAGGGTATCCCAGTTGCTGCTGTCCTTGCCGATGCCGGTGATGGACCAGGCGTTGGTTGATGTTGGTGCCATGATGAGTATTTGTGTATGTGTGATGATCAATTATCGCCCGATTAACATTTGAGATTCTTCAGCAGAACCATGTAGGATCTTGCTTCGCAAACCTGGCCTTTATGTATCGAACTCCCCAAGAAAAGATTTCAAAGCAATCGTGGGGTTTTCGAAGCTCCGAAGCTTCGAAGAGCGTCGACATGACGCAATGTCCACTCATACCGTCATATTGGGTCCGGCAATGCGACCTTCTTTTGCACTCGATTCCACTGACTCGAATGTCTTGAACCGTAGACACCCCAGCTTGGAGCTATGAACCCCCCTGCCCGTGTCCATTGACTTTCCGCCGCTATTCCGCTTTTTGCCCCGGAGCCGCTCGGCATCCACGCCAATTGCCAGATGCAAGCC